CAAAAAAAAAAAAAAAAAAACAGACCTTCCTGGACGTTGCTGCCATCCTGACTGTCTGTTGCCGGTAGCGCAGGCATGAGAGGCGGTGTGGGCTATCGTTGCAAACTGTAGGAAGGCGTATCAGCAGAGCTTTCGTTTACATGAAAGACTTGGCTATGGGAGGAAAGCTTAGCCCTGCATTAGCCTAGATCAACCGCTAGCAAGGCCGCTAAAGATGAGCGTGAACAGAGCTTTTGGTGAATGGCCTCGTGTAACTACTCGGGATTTTGCCTACCCTTTTTGAATTGGTATAGCAGATACCATCACTAGCCCCCACACTACTCTATAGACAGGTAGTGGCGTCTTCAATAGGTATAGATCACGATCGCTAATGAAAAAGATTTGACTACCTATATCGAGCCCTCCGTCCACATAGTCCGACTGGTGACTATCATCTCGACATCGCTGCCAGCATTAACTGCATCAGGCAGGCGCAGATTCTGTCCCGTGATGTCGACACTTGCGCAGATCCCCGAGAACGATGCAAGTGCCCGGGCCAGAATTGGGAGCGTCGTTCGTTCTCTGTCTGGTCTCTAACCTTGGAGAAACAATCTTGCTCTCCAGTCGTGGCGGTTGAGGACGACAGGTGCGGACTCAACCGCCCAAGGAGCCAGTTGAGCGGTGGCGGTGCGCTCTGATCACCCTACGCTGAGCCGAGCCTCATTCGGAGTCCACAAGGCAGTGTGAATTACAGCCAAACCTCTACTAATTGTGCCTATGTAAGGGGCCTTTAAAGATGGACGGATAGATCTAGCTAGTCCTAATATAATACACTTTAACACCCAGGGGCCTGCTTCCACAGCAGCACGCGTGAGTCCTGAAATAGACGCCGTGGCCGCTCAGGCATTGTTCGATTATAGCCCATTTCTCTCCAAGAAGTCAAATGTGACTTGGTAGCCAGCAGTGGCGTTGTTGTGGAGCGTGAAGGCATGGCCCGTGTTGGGCTGGATGTAGTCCTCGACCACCGTGGCGTTTGGATAGGTATTTTTCAAAGCCTGCAAGGTGTACGCCCCCCTGCAATTCCCGTCACAGATATAAAAGTCGAATTCAGCCAAAAAGAACAGCACGGGCGCTTTGAGGTCAGGGCCTGGGAGTCCGATGATGCGGAACGCGGAGGCGAGCTCCCCAACGGCCACGGGTTGCTTGAGAGAGTCGCCGTAATCGAGCATCTCTTGGGTGAAGGCTGTCTGAGGATTGCCTCCGAAGAAGATATTCTGGATCCCGCTCTTCTGGCACACAATGTAGCCGCTTGTCCGATTGAACGGAGGGGAGGCTGTGGCGGCATATTCGAGACCCCATGTAGCCATCCCCGGTGCTCCCAGGTACTTGCCGTAAAAGTAGCCAGTAATGATGACTCCGTCGGTCAGAGAGGGGTACTTGGCGATCAATGCCGAGGTGAGGAACGATCCGAAACTGTGGCCGACATGGACAATTTTGGTCGGGTTTGCCAACGAGTTGAACTGTGCAGTGGCAGGTTGCGCCACGGCTGCGAGGCTGTAAATGGTTCCATTACGCGCCATCAAGGTCAGCTGTCGGAGGATCTCCAGTTGTAGAGAAGCTTGTACCACGTTGTACGCGTCAGGGTGATCCGATTGACCTGCTCCAAGACGATCGTACGTGAAGATGGAATATCCTTCTTTGAGGACTGCTTCGACGTAAGACTGGTTCGCGCGGTTGAGCTCAGGATCCCAGTATCTCGAGTCATAATGCGCGCCGTGGGTCGCGATCTGCAGAATCTCCTTTTTCGCCCCGGGCGCATTAGGGATGCACAGTTGTGCATGGATATTGAAAGTTCCAGTGGTCGTCGTGTTCTGGGTGACTGTCTGCGCAGCCTTAGGAGTGCTCCAGGCGTCTTGGTAGATCGCCCACGCCCTTGCCTCGATATTGCTCTCCACGTTCGGGTGTTCATAGACCATGCTGTCCGCTGAAACGAACACCGGGATGTTGAATTGCTTGCAGGATCCATGGACCCTCTGGGATGCCTTGACAGGCGAGGCCAAGATAGTACGAGAGAGAGCCAACAAGGCTATGACAAAAGTGGCGGCCATCTTGGAGCGGAGAAGAATTGCGACAATGGAGATTAGGCGGGATTTTTGATCATGTCTCAGGATCGAGCAATGGCAGCTAGGCGGAGGGTTTATATAGATGTAGAGAGATCCATTGCCGGCTCAGCAAACGCGTTCTCGACTATGATGTCCCGCCGCGCGAACCATGGAATCGAGATATTTCAGCTGCCATGCTCTGCATTGTCCAGGAGCGCATGGATGCTGGCGCAGACTCTGTGGGACTTCCCTCTGAGACCGTCGCAATATCGGCCAGGCCGCAAGTCTTGGTATGGCATGGGACCTTTGCTTTGGATCTTGGACTCAATGACAAGTTAGGCAGAGATGAAAGTCAGGGACAAAGACCGAATCTCTCATCTGAACGGAAGTCTTTTCTTGGCTCGTTGCGCCGTCGTCCTGATCGACTGACTCTAGACGAATGTATCGAGCCCACCTCCCCGCAACAGACGGAGTTTCCATATTGCCGAGCGTCTCAAAACGGATGGGCGGGTTAGACATGCCTGTATTAGGTTTCATAACGCGATTTGGGCGCCGCTGCCGAGAGACGGACATGTCCCATATTGACCAGGGGCGTATTCGCTTAATTACCAGGGGCGTATTCGCTTAATTACCAGGGGCGTATTTGTGGAGCGGGTGCCCCACAACGCTATACAACACGATGACAATTCCCAGTGTCCGCATATCGGAGATGTGTTCAGGCGGTGCTTAATCATACTCGTGGGCCTGTTATGCAAAAGTCCATTCATTCATTCAGGGTTTAGACACTGCTTGACTCGTTGTTTGCCGAAATAACGCTATCCTGCAGGGACCGCGGCCATCGTAAAAGCCACGCTTTGTAGCCTTTGTCTGCGTCGTGAATGTTCTTGGCGCGGTTGACTTTATGGGGTCGTTGGACATTCACCACACTCTCGATCTTCTGCTTGGTGGGTTTCGGAGCCAGGGAACTTAGTAAGTAGGCGGTGCACATCTGAAGGCTGGTGCAAGGATTAACAGAATCGGTAATGGAATGATAGCAAGCCACATACACGAGCCGAACGAGGCTGAGGCAGCAAATGCAAATCAGCTGCAGACGAGCCCGTCATACCTCGCTCCGTTCGATCTCAACCGGGCATTGCTACGAGATGCCTTCGCAAACTCTCTTTGAAGTATACGACTCGAAGTGTGAAGTAGAGAGAGAGGTCATTTTCATAAGATAGAGAGATATAAATCACACGATCTGGCATTGCATTTGGCAGTTATTCTACCACCAACATTCCATACGAAAAATCTCCAGTCAAGCTTCCCGAACCAGCTCCTACGCTCGTAGCCTCCGCTCAGAACAGTATCCTCGAGACTCATCACTTCATCAACCCATCTACTTCTCTTCTCATCACTCCGCTCCCATGGCCTCTCTCGCCCTCGCCATCGGCGCTGCCATCTACTTCACCACCGAAAAAGTCCGCGACCATAAGAAAAAGAAGCAGGCCTTGAATGCTCACGGCGCACCGCAATACGACTCGGTTTCACCAACCTCGTCAATCATGGAGAACAACGCCGCCCGCCGCACAGCGGAACAGCTACCGGCATATGTATTCACAGAACCCCCGCCATACCACATCAAAGACCAACATTACGAGCGCAAGGCCGCTAAGGAACGCAGGCGTCGGGCCTCTGGAGGCGCTTCAGTTGAGGCGGGGGGACAGATATAGTGGAGAGTTTAGGGGCGTTTCGAACTTCTGTGGCATTGGGCTTTCCCTTGACACCTCGTTTCCGAGGGGCATGTATATTAAACATTGCTAGCATGTTTGCAGAGGTACTCCAGGAGTGATGCATAGACATAATTTGATTACTACTTTTTCTGCCCCATTCCAGCAAGCACAGATACAGACCCTGGACGTCCGCTCCGCCCAAGCCCCCGTCGCCCTGATAGTCATCCTGCCAGTCTCTGCAGGATGGTGGGCCTCGGCCGAACAGCAGCAACAACACCGAGAGCGGAGGAATAAGGCGCGCGGCACATGATCTCCAATATTTACTCGTCAGGGCCCCAAGCATCGGGGAGACCAATTCGATTCGCGAGACCGGCCCGGCCATCGACAAGTTAGGGCTTTTTTCGAAATTTGTCATGGAAGGCCACTAGGCTCCCATGTGGAATATTCTAGCCTCACCAGCACCTGCAACCTGGCGGATACGCTCCCAGCTCCGCATTTACGCCATATACGCCTTTTGCGAAGACAGGCTGGAGAGGCCAAGAGATTCCATGCAACCGGGCTATGCTCGTCCTCGTCCTCTCGTACTCGTGTTTCATATGGATTTAGGCTGCTGCGGGAGCAGGTAAGCAGGACTTTTGAGGTCCTATAGCTGTGCCGTGCATGCAGCTCAATGGTACTCCATGCTACCCACGTCATGGACCCTGCGCAAAACGGTGTCAGAGCCTGCTGCGACCCCTTACTGCGCGGTATATCGGGTGCAATGCAATGCATCCAATCTAATGCAATACGAGCCTCCTTTCGTATTTCATAGCGCTATGTTCTCGAGTCATGGTGCGCAGCGGACCAGCTACTGCTACTACAGTCATGGGCCGGCGAAGGCAAGCCGTCAATGTGATGGATCACACACAGATGCACTACTACTGGCTCTAGAGTATCTGCAATTTGATGTGAAGGGTCTTGTTCCATAAATAGAGGCTGAGTGTTGATGACATCGGCGGCTCTCAACAATTATCTACTCAAGTTTCATCAAGCTGGTCGGTTTAAAAGCCTTATATTGTATCTGACGACTTGTGGTTTGTTTCTGATCAATTTATCTGGCCATCAAGCATCAACATCTTCTCCCGTTCTTCGTCAGAAACTCCGGCAACCTCACCTGATTGTGCCACATATTTGTGCATTGTGTCAAATACCGGAAACAAAAAACAGCCTCTCTCCATGACGGGAAGTCTCAAGAAAGAATGCGACAAGGCGGCGCAAATCCTCAAGAGCTTCATTGGTACGCAGGACCCCAACAAAATCCGAATTGGCGGCGACGCGGATTCAGAACTGACACGCGAGCACAGACAAAGGTAGAATACCGGCGCAGGTCATCACGACTGCAAAGGGCATCGCCATATTCTCTGGTTTCCGCGCCGCAATGTACCTCGCTGGCGCCGGCGGGTCTGGCGTCGTGGTTGCACGGCTCGCCGATGGATCGTGGTCTGCACCGTCTGCGTTCTCCGTGCGCTCGGGCGGGATCGGGGTCGTGTACGGCGTGGACGTGTACGACTGCGTGTGCGTGCTCAACACACAGGACGCGGTGGAGGCATACATGAAGAGCGACATGACCATGGGCGCCGGTGCGTCCATGGCTGCGGGCCCCATCGGCGGCACCGCCGATCTGAGCACAAAGGACGTCAAGCCTATCTGGACGTACACCAAGTCGCGGGGCCTGTATGGCGGCTTGACTGTCGACGGCACCGTCATCAAGGAGAAGTCGAGCATCAATGCGGAATCATACGGGAAGGGTGTCGCAGCTGCACAGATCCTGGCCGGCGGCGCAGAGTGGCCGGGGCAGACACAGCTTCGCGAGGTGCTCAAGATGGCGGAGGGCAAGAGCGCGGATGCAACCGTCCTCGGTGCCATCAGCACCGACCCGACTCCTGGCGATTTGACGCAGTAAATCAGCATGGCTTGACAAAGTTTTGTTCATCAGGCGGTTGCACTTGGGAAGGTCGATGGCAAAGGGGCGCCGGGAATATCTAGGCAAAGAGGTCGGATGTGCGCGATTGTAGCCATTCTATACATATCTTGATGTTGAGGGCGGTAGAGGGACCTTGAATCAAGGGTGTCGGTGCGAGTGTGGCCAAATTTGAGGCTGAGCAATATAATTTGGTTGGATCTATTCTCTCAATTGCCGGATGAGCACGGCAAAAGACAATCCGAGCTCATTACACTTCTGATGTACGGTAGTAGACACGCCGTGCCGCCGGTCCTGCGGGACAAGCGGCGGTCGGGTCGGACCAGATTGTACTTTGTTCACGCCCCCCTCTGGGAACACTTCGAAGAAAGATCTCAGCATTATGGACTGAAGCATACAGCCTGGGTGGCGCCAGTATATATGACGCAACCTCCGTTACAGCAATACTCTGGATCCTGCAAGGAGCAGGGTCCGCCGTCCGGAACGCAGCATAGGGTGCCTCCGAATATACTTGTATCACAGCTGCCGGAGCAGCATGTATCGGTAGCCGGGGAGCAAGAAGATAGGAGGAGCGTACATACAGGCGCGGCAGAAGTTGTGGTTGTGGTTGTGGTTGAGGTTGAGGTTGATGTAGATGTAGATGTAGATGTAGATGTAGATGT